ATTGTATGTTAAATACTTGAACCATGTCGACAAGTGTCATGACATCTAAGTAACCACGAAATAGTCGCCACTACAATGATTCTATATATATAGGAGTGTTGCACTGGAATAACTAGATTAATATTTATAATGTTCATCAAGTCTCTCAGGGGATAAATTCACTCATGTAAAATAATTTGTCATGTAAATAAATTGAGTTCTATGTATAAAAAGAGCTTATGGGAGTATTCGATTCAATGTTTAAGACCAATATTGCACCAAATCTCATAATACCTTTATAGAATAAAACTTAAATAAATTAAACATATGTATGTAAAATATATTGCTATACAAATAAATTCGACCAATATGCCATTGTATTAGTAGGGACAAGTTGGAATATTTAATTCAATCATATTCTATAAGTCTCCAAAATATATAAGTTCACCTTGAGTCAAAATCCAAGTTAATCAAAACAATTCAATTGTGAGAAATACATAAATATTCAAATCAAACATTTGAATTCTCAAAGCCCAAAATGTATAGATTATATTTCAATTCAATTCCAATCCCATTCACTTTTGCAGTTTAGCCCCTCCCTCTTCCTCTTTTTCCTTTTCTTCCTTCTCTCTCTTTTTCTGTCTGTCACTGTTCATGGGCCATCATCTATTCGATCCGGTCCCATGACCGCGCCCGCGTCCTACCCGCATGCCGCACGCCGCGCCTCCCTTCCCTCACGTCGCATCCATCCGCTTCCAGGCCGTGCGCCGCTTGTGGGCCATGCGCCGCATCCCTCCGCATCCGCGCTCGCGCCCGGACGCCGCGCACGCGATCGACCGCGCCACCTCCGCATCTCGCGTCGCCCCCGTGCACCGCATCGTGCCGCGCCCTAACTCCGTGTCGCGCCAAGTCCGTCCTTCCGCCGCGAATCCCGGCATCCGTCAGCGCCACGCTAGGTGGGCCCGCGACTCGACCCCGGTCAAGCCGCCATCTCCTTCAGCCGTCACTCCAAGAGATGAGGAACGAAGCCGATTGGATAAGCGCGTCGCCATTGCCACGTCCGCCAAATTATCCAGACGCATGACGTCCCGTCGCCCCTCCATGCACCCGCTGGACAAAACGATGCGCACCCTCTCAAGCTAGCGCCGAGGTTCACAGGCTAGGAGCTGTAGGGTGATGATTAAGCCACAGAGACTTAATGGAGAAGAGGATGGAAACCTTAGGGCACCCACAATGGTTATCTATAGGCTCTCTACAAGAGATCCATGTCAGCATATTTTCCTACTTGGAAGAGATTAAATGAAGAGAGAGAGTAAAGCTATCTACTAACCTGGAGATAGTCTATAGAGAAAAACGAGGCAATGCATTAGAGAGCTATAGATACCCATGTAGACATACCATTAAAGTGGTTTACTATTAATCTAGTCTATTGCTGAGATGTACATGTTTTATAGATAGCACCTTACTTTACCATTGCGGGTGCTCTTAGCCGCGTCAACCTCCCTAACCTAGGCCGTAGACAGCCATCGAGTGCGCCTGTCATCGACCTCATCCTCCACGCCATCCTGGCTTATCCCCAAGCCAAGCCCCCATAAAAACCCCAATCCCCTCTGCCTCTCCCTCGGATACACATTTCGTCGAACACCTAGCATGCGTGCCGGCATCGTCTTCTCTACTCCACCACCGTGATATCAAGCATCGCCATTCTGCATTCTCTTGGTAATTCCTCGCTCCTGAGCTCCTATTAATCCCCTAGGAACTAACTTCCCCATCAATGTCGCCGATCATGGCCATAACCATGCCGAGTCCGAGCTCCAAAGCTCCACCCATGGAGGTCACCGTGGACATGCTATCCCGGGGGATCTCCCTTCTATTTTACTGGAAAAACGGAACCCTCATGCGCCATAGATGCTCACGCCCTCACCAATATGGTCGCAAACCATCCCGTTCGCCGTAGCTGCTTGCAGCCGAGCTCGGCCATGGCGTTGCCGTGCCGCAACGCTCGCCCCTGCTCCGCCATGCACCGCCGCCGCCGGTGGAGGGCTGCTAGAGCTCCTCCGCAAACCCCCCTGTCCGCCGCCGTGCCGCCCCGGCCCCGTGCCCGTCGCGCCCAGCCGTGTCCTGGTGCTGCCTCCCAATGGCTGGAGGTAGAAGACGACGGGAGGAAGAAAGAACGACAGAAGAGAGAGAGAAACCGTGTGGGACCCACATGTGATTAGCGCACAGTAATCCTATCCCTAACGGTGATTAGCCCACTCAATGGCAGGTGGGGTCCCTATAGTTAAAATATAAGAAAACACAATTATATATTTTGTTCCTATGACAGGCGGGACCCACTGGTAATTAAACAAGCAGGTTTGACCCTAAGTCAACCAGGGCCGGTCCCACATGTCAACCACAGTGGGTTTTGGATAATGTTTCCGATTAAAGATAAATCATTTATGAACAGTACATTTTTACAATTTCTCGGATTAACTCAAATTTGAATCTTTAAACTAGCATAACTTATTCATTTTAGCTCCGATTTGAGTGAAACTTGAACCTAAATTCGTCTAAATTCATAATCTTCCCAATGGTATATAACTCACTATTTAATAAAATATATTTATAATTATTAAATAATAAATATCAAATGATTAGATAATGATTAAACTAAAAATGTGCTAGCAAATAAAAATTATCATTGTACAGTGAACTAGGTAGAGGAATATTTGTTGTTAACATGTTCTGTCACTATGGGAACCATGTGTAGCTATATGTATTAGTTCAGTTTAAAGCAAAGATAGGAGATATTAGTATCATTTACTATTCCATGATTATATATAGTCAAGTTCATGATTCAGTCATTGTCTAAATAGAGGATTAACTTAATGAGTTTATAACTGAAAATCTAAGTACACACATAACAGTCCTTAGTTTGTCTATGAGGTATAATGACAGAGCTGGGTGTGATGGAATCAATCGAATGATAGATTTAACCGGTGCAATATCCTATATATATATATATATATATATATATATATATATATATATATATATATATATATATATATAATTTGGTTGACACCTATTATTTAACAGAACAACAAATAACTCATGTTCGGTAAATAATCCAATTAACATATTATTGAACTTGCATGTACAGTACATCCATTTAACACATACACAGTAAGTCAATCACCTACTGTTGCACCTATTAAACTATGAATTGTTTGATAAACATCAAAGTTAGATAAAACACTAATTATAAATCTTGACCTCGTTACGAGACCACACAGACAAATAATCTGTACCTATGACCTCACCGATCTAACATATAGAGCGTGTATGATTATTAACCCTTTTATAATTTATAATGACAAGTAAAATATGATCGTAATTAAAATAATGCCCCATTGGTAAAATAATAATATAAATGATTCCCTGTGATTGCTTGTTGATCCTAATTAAATTAATCCATCCAACAACAGAACCTTTAGTATAAGACCATTTATCTGAATAGATGCATGCGTAGTCATATAACCCTCCCATAACCCTGTAGGTAGACTAAACCACATATTAGCAAAATGTGTATATCATATATTGTGCTAGTTAGTACCAGTAGAGCCATAATGATTATATAAAATACTAAGAAACCTTAGCCCATAAGCTTTCTTGTCTCATCAGCTTCTTATCTCATCAGCTACTTGCATGCTATGTAATTTAGAGCCTAAGCTACCTCCATTTTCCTTACCTATATAAACAGTGCAGCCATAGTAGAGACTTCGTAGCACCTTACAATCCATTAGCAAACACAGTAATGTGAGCAGCCGTAGGTTCAACCCCAACATTTATATTTTGTTTGTGCATATGTGACTGTTGTTTGAACATTGATTTTTCTCGCGTATTATAGTATTGGTGTATCGATTAGTCGTGAGGCAACGTATGCAGCTTCCAGGAGGTGAAGGTTGATCAAGATTATATCAAGAATAAGAACTATCCTGAGCAGGCAAGTCATCACCCCATTCCTTGAGCATGTTGATCCCAATTATGAAATTGTTTTGTTTATAAATAAAATTGCATGTAGTGATAAATGTCCTACTTGTTATTATGCCATGCCTTTGATTATTGGTTATCTAATTATTCCCTTGTACCCATAATTACGTATGAGTCCCTAGTCACTTATGACAAATGCTTAGTACTGCTAATTTAGATCTATGCATTCTCATATTTATCAAATGCTTTATGTTTGGGTAACTACCTTGGGGAAGGTAGTTGAGATACGGCATGTGGAGATATGAGCGCCACATTGCCATGACATTGATGAGATGATTTGTGAAAGAAAGTTAAAACTAAAGAAATGTTTTCGACTGGGGCGGCTGGAGGACTTGGGTGGTGTCCGGTAAAGGCTAGTGCCGTCCCTGGTCAATTAAGGACCGAGCCATGAAGCTAAGCATGAAACGACTCCAGTACAACCGTACTTCTCGTATGGGTATAGACCTAGCGGAGTAAATAGCCGAGCGGAGGCAGTATCTCTGCATAGTGGTTTTCTTGATGTGTGTGAGGCAGGGCCTACGGTGGGGCAGCCATTGGTAGGACCGCGAGGGGCGGGTGCCTACAGTGGTGTCGCCATCGGTAGGACTGCCATGTGTAAACCTAAACTTAACTATAACTTAATGCATGTGTGAGTCTTCCCTTCCCGGGAGCGCCAGAACTCCTCTCACTGCTAGAAACCGTGTACGCCTAGAGTGCATGAGGACTCAAGTTCATGGAGCGGGTACTGCCAAAGTGAGGTTATTGAAAGGCTTTGCCATGGCAAGTCTCATCCGTTGGGACGTAGGCTCATGTGTTGGGCAAGTCGCGGAGTAAGGGTAAAGTGTACATCCACTGCAGTGTGAGTAAACCAAATCTATTCGAATAGCCGTGCTCGCGGTTATTGAGCACCGGGACATGTATTACACTTGGCTAGACTCTAAATTCTTAAAATGATGGGTGGGATGTTGCATGATGATTTTGTACTGGTGGATCAACTTCTCGAGAGGCGAGAAGGGGTAGACCCTAGAAAACCATGACGACCAGTGGCGGGAAGCTATCCTTGGGAACACAATGGATGGTGGACAGAACCGTCGCTGTTTAATGAACAATGGAATTAAAACTTGACCAGTTTATGCTAGGTCTTAGGTTTGTGAAATGATATTTGAAAACTCAGCTTTACGCAAAGTAACCATAGCCACTCCTTGTATTATCCTGTACATTACTGCATTTTGTGTGGTGGCTTGCTGAGTACTTTTGTACTCATTGTTGCTCTATATATATTTTTTAGCAGAGTGTTGAAGAGAAGCCATTGTTAGTACGCTTGCGTACTTAACAAGATGATCGGAGTGCGATTCCATTCTAGATCTCGTTCCCCAGTCGACTGCTTGTGGCATGTCAACCGGGCCCTTGTATTATTTTGTCTTCCGCTGTTGTTCTCTGATAGTTGTTGGCCTGCCTGGCCCTAATGTAAGCATTTAACTCTCTTAGCCTGAATTCATTCGTGATATGTTGTGATTCGGCTATGTATGTGTGTACCAACTACTGATCCAGGGATTGGTACTGATAAACACAGAAGATTTCCGATTTCCAAAATCGGGGGTCGACAATCCACTAGTCAAGAGGTGTGGAACCAATCCGAATGTTTTGTTGTCCTTATCATGAGTAAATTGGTTTCCGGTCTGGAATAAATCCTGGTCTCTTATTATATATATTATAAATTTCTTACTGTGCTTGTCATTCTCGGTCCGGATTAAATCCGGACGTAACCGAACAAGGCCTTACTGGTTGCGCAGCTCGCTCAGCTACACGGAGGTGGTGGGGAGCCCATCCTGTCGTTCAACGTCATGCCAGCACAAGTGTTACAAATAATCTTGTGTCGATCTGCTTTGTGTTTCGTTTTTCTGGTAGTTTTTGACCAGCTACGCATCTGGCTTTGCTCAAAATTAATTATGTCTTTCCATCATATGGTTCACCGGTTGTATATCGATCTCCATATTGCAGTCCACTACAATACAATACATGGAAGGAAACGAATACAAATTAATATGATTGATGAAATGATATATAATACTGTGTAATGGAGTAATAGTACTGATACATAATGTAACTCAGTAACTTCTACATATTTACATATATTAATATAGCGCAGTGGGAGCCTCTCCTGCTCTTTAAATATCAAAAAAAATTAGAGTAATACTGAATTTCTTTTTATTAGGTACCTAGAGACAGTGAGGACGACGTACGATTATCGAGCTGATTATGATGGGGATGGACCAAGTGTAAACCAATCGGTGACTAGGAGTAGCCCACGGTGTGTTTGCGAGGACATGGACACATGAATACTACATGCTGTATGCATGCGGGGGTGACCGTTGACCCAGAGTTTTTATTTCTCTCTTTTTTTTTAGAACGACCGGACATTGTCAATGTTGGGCCGCCGGCAGCCTCAGCCGGTTGATCAAATTTAGCCCAGCCCATCTAACAAAAATGGCCCGAAGCCATATCTATAATTACTACTTACTACTCTATCCATCTTTAAAAATATAGTAGCACTTATAAATTTAATAGTTCGGCCCCTTCTCGCTGCTTGGAGTTTGTGTTTAGCTGTCGTAGTTTTTTAAGCTTCAGCTTCTTAGTTTGCTTTTTCTCCCTTCTCCTGGCATAAACCGGTCTGTCTGATCGCGTTGCGTAACTATAACTCTTTTCTTCTAATATATTGACGTGCAATCCTTTTGCACATTCGCGGAAAAAAAACTTATAAATTTAATAGTAGAAAACAATTTCTCAACCAGTGGTGACGTGACAAGAGGCAGCTATGGCAGGACAGCACTATCATGCTAGCTACACGTGACGTGATAGAGTTATTTGGCCACGCCAGGCGAACTGGTGTGGCCAAAAGGTTTAGATTTGAAAGTACTTTTGAAAATGGTCTATTAATAAAATTAAAACATAAAAAAGTCAAAAAAAAATCTTTCATCTCTTATCCCTAGCTCGGCTCTTTTAGAACCAATTCCATCTTTCTACTGACAGCTGTGAAGTCCAAAGTAGTACATGTTGTAAAACCAACGTAAGTCCAAAGGAATTTAATTTCCTTTTTCGCTCCAATGGGAAATGTTTGGTCTACGAATTATACTAGCTGCCCTGCTTTCGCTACTCTTTGGGCTAAAGAGTCCGAAGGTGGATAAAATTTCTTAGTTTCAACAAGTAAAATTGGAATAATTAAGTTGCTTTTCTTTCATTAAAAAAAACTGTTCAAAAACATCCCCTTTTACCATATGGATGACCAATAACAAATCCACCTGTATGGTATGCCTGGGCTCATGGTCATGAACCGTGTAAAGCCCCAGGTCCAAAATGGTTATAGGTCAACTCAATTTGCAGAGAAAATCCTTTCTATACCAATGAAATTATAGCTAATTCTTTTTATGTTTATGAATTTTGCTTACTTTCTTGTATATCTAAAAATGATTTTGATCCCTTCCATGCTTCTCCGTTGACCATTAGTATCAGTGGTTCTCCCCGGCGTCGATCGGGAATGAAGACGTCGATGTAAAATTAGGGTGCGCACGGCGTGCAGCACAAACAGTAGGGTGGGTGTAATTTTCGTCGGATTGATATGGGAAAAATCTAATCCATATATATAGCAAACTAGCAACGTCTAAAAAAAATCGCATGTTTTAGAGGATAAAACATTCAAATGATGTTTGGACAGTAAAAAGAGAAGAATAAGACTAATATAACAACAACTGAGAAGAAAATAAAATCAGCCAAAAAAAATCAAATCATCTCGTAAAATAAAATAAAAGAAAAGAAAAGAAAGAGAGCAAATGATCCATTAAACAACGACGCACCGTGGAGTGATGTCCAAGAGGTAATAGCCTCTCCTGCGTCGTCGACCTCCAGACGGCTAGCTCCTCCCCGGCCGCCGTTGAGCTTGGAGGTACCGCATGCAGCTAGCTTTCCTGACGGCCGGCGCCGCTGGTCACCGGCGCACGGCAGCTGCATGCGCCTGCGACAAAGGCCAACAGATATCTCTCAGTTCACCACCCGCTGGACGTAATTAAGGGAGGCATCTCTCAGTAGGGCGAGGATCAGATCTCTCAGTGCATTATCGCCATTAGCAGTAGAGAAATTAAGGGGGGAAGAGATACCTTAACGACGAAGGAAGAATTAGCTAGCTGCTTCTTATATATCTCCGCTGGTGGAGACTCAATCCACACACGGCTCCCGTGTAGTTCTCACTTACAAAGCAATCATATTAATTAAGCGAGAGAGAGGGTTTGTACGTAACTATCCATAAGGTGTAGATTGGTTTAACCAAACTACTCCATGGTTAAACCCGACTAGCTCTTTGCGTCATTTAAATGTGACGTCATGTCTGAATTTAAAATCTCTCCGGTCCTCTCACTTTTATCGTAGTTTTATTTATACCTTTCGCGCTTGTCTAGCTAGATATGATTTTGTCTGCCTTTTCCCATAGCAACGCACTGGCACTTTGCTAGTTAGGGGGTGTTCTAGATCCCACCCCCAAAATTTTGCACCCTTTTAGATCGAACGTTTAAACACCTACATAAAGTATTAAATATAGGCTAAAAAAATAACTAATTACACAAATTACGACTAATTTGCGAGATGGATATTTTAAGCCTAATTGCTCCATGATTTGACAATGCTGTGCTACAGTAAATATTTGTTAATGACGGATTAATTAGGCTTAATAAATTCATATCGCAATTTACAGGTGGATTTTATAATTTGTTTTGTTATTAGGCTACGTTAAATACTTCAAACGTATATCCGATGTGACACGGCAAAAATTTTTACCGCTAGCTAGCTGGATCTAAACACAGCGTTAACCATATAAAATTCCACAAAACTCCTACCCCCCCCCCCCCCCCCCGCGTTCTACTAATCGCAGTCGCATCCAAAGGTTTGAAACCCCTCGCGCCAAATGCGAAAAAGGCACCCCGCATATCCCCACGTGCGCTTTCTCCTCCTCTCCGCTTGAGCCCTAGCTCCTCCCTGAGCTCCCTCCCCCGCGCGAATTGAAAACCCTAGCTCCGATCTCTCTCATCCACTTCGACGCGGAGGCCAACGATCGTAAGCAGCTTGGTGAGCAGGGGCTAGCTAGCTACGACGAGCAGCCTCTGGATGTACGAGAGCGCGCGCGTGGTCTCAGATCGTCGACTGAGGGCCTCGATCGTGATGGCTAGGGCGCCGCGCGGTAGCGAAGGCGAGGGCGGCGGCGAACTGGGAGCGCCTGGTGCGTGCGGTGCTGCGGGGAGAGCGGTTGGCAGGAGGCGCGCCGCCGGGAATGCGCCGCCGTCTCTCAACAGCAACGTCCACATCGACGAGGCGCTTCCCGCCGCCGACGAGAACCAGCTGGACGAGGACCCTACCGTCGCCAGGATTCGTAAGTTTCGTCACCATTTTTCGCTCCGTTAGGCTATTGACCTGCTGTATGGCCGGGTCGCCGCGGCTCAGGATTGCCCTACCCATGAAGTTATTAGTGGTGTTTTTCCTAGTATTTTATGCAGTTAGTATCGGCTACACGAATTGACTATGCTAGTTCATTAGGAGTACTTTTGCTTTTTTTTTTCTTACAGCCTTCTGTACTACTAAATTTAGTCAACAGTTACATGATCAGGCTAATAATATCTTTCATAACACACTCATAAATAATATTTATGATAATTTATTTTTAGATATGAGATAAAAATAAAATTTATTTATTACTTATTAAAAATTATTTATTTACCATATAAATAGATTTATCTTAAAAATATTATTTTTTTGTTATATCTAAAAATAAATTTGTCATACATAAAATTTTGTTTTGCCTTCGCGGGGGCGGAAATAAAATATTATTTTTGTTAAATAATATATCACAAAATAAACTACATCAGTATACTTAATAAATTTATATTTTTCTTGATATCAAAGGACAAAATGGATTTTACGATAGGAATTTAACGGTCATCTAACGAAAGAGGTATAGAAGGGATGCAAACTGAAATTTAGGGGTATGAAAAGGAATAAACAAATCTCAGGAATATAAAAAGGATTGGGTGAACTTTCAAGGTACACATGGAATTTTCTCAATAAAATTTGATTATACCACTCACTAACAATCTGGACCACTAGTTAATGACCAAATTGCCGACTGGGTGGGGCCCATGAGGTAAATTAATTATGTTGGGGAAAAGGGGAGAAGAGAGGAGGAAGAAAGTTTTGGCCTTGGTCCATTTTTATTTCTTATTCTGGCCCGGCTAAATCCTAGTGGGTGGTATCCAGGCACATAGGCCTTCTGGCCTGCCGGCTACATGTTCCTTTTGTTTATTTTCAAATTCGTGTGTGTATAATTTTTTTTTAAAGTTTACTTATGCATCCAAGGTTTATACACCAACAGTTATGTGTCTTATTTGTATTTGGATTTGAATTTCAAATTATTATACATAATGTTGTTGCTATATTAAAAGTTTCTATACAAATTAAGTGTTTGTGTATAAACTTTTATGTACTATTAATGTTTGTTTATATTTTTTAGTGAAAGTTTTAAACAGATTTTTTAATTGGGCTGAATTGGTGTATGCATGTAGGCTAAGGACCCGTGTACACTGGCTGAAACTTACTAGCTTCAATAGCTTCAATCAACTTTTAGCTAATGTTGATGCGCCTGTTTTAGACAAGCTAGTGGCCATAACTCGAGCTTGAATCATCCAATCAGTTATCCATTTTAATTACAAGTGAGTGTGCGTGGATCTTAATTTAACCCTAAGTTTACTCCCAGGATCCACCTAAGAAAGAGTCAGTAGCTAGAATTTATTATTGTGCCATGGAGTTACAAAAACTAATGTGTAACTTTAATTAGTGAGTGAGAAGAGAGGAAAGACGTGAGCCACATACAAAGCGAACACAAGTACTGACCAAATCCAAGACGGTTAGACAGAGCACTCGTGAATATCGAGTACTAATAAACCAACAAATAGTTAAGCAAATTAATTAAGTCTCATCGCCGATGACAAAAGATCGTCGATCGATCGGGTCGGGTGCCCCGCCCCTGAGCTTAGCTAGCTAGCTCGATTAATTGAAGCTTGCACTGGTGGAGAAACCATCTTTCGTCGGTCGGCCGATTTCCACAATAGTCCCGGATGCAATAAAAACCGGGGCTAAAGATGATCTTTAGTCCCGGTTCAAAAGGGTAACGGGCATATTTGATCTTTAGTCCCGGTTTGTGTTACAAACCGGGACTAAAGATCATCTTTAGTCCCGGTTCGAATGCTGTCGGGGCCTGTCAGGCCCCCCCGGGATCTTTAGTCCCGGTTGGTAACTTTAGAAAAGATACGAGAGGCTGCGCGACGACTAACAAATGCAGTGGAAGCCTCCTCTCAGGGCACGTTCCGACCAGACAGAGATAGGGACGAGCTGACACTCGCCCTGCAGACTCCAAAGCATCCAGGACGAACACGAGGGAAAGGGGTGATTCCTTGGAAGATTGGTTTCAAGGAGGACATCCACACGTACAGGAGTCGGATGAGGAGCAAGAGAGATACCGAGGCGAAGATTGCAGACCTAGAGTTCCGGGTATCGAGCTACGAACTCAACATGCAAGAGGAGGTGGCAAGGAAGGTTGATGAACGCATGGCCGCACATCGGTCCCATGATCCCCAGCCGACCATTCCTCCTGCAATGGTGAACCCGTCAGGAAACCGTAGCAGCTGCGCCTCAACGGGGCAGGTAGGATCACAGAGCATGGACGCCATGCAAACACAGGACGAAATACGAATCGACCTGTCCCGTTGATGACATCACTCAGCGGACACCATGTGAGCTGCATATTCCTTTCAAGAACTTATCAATAAAGGTAAGATTTAGCCATTCCGCTAGTTGCTGCTTATATATGTTGATTACTAATAAATAATCTCTCACAACATGAAGGTGGCGTCGGGCATGGCCATCCCAACGGACCCTTCAGGTACTTACCACTGCAGGCCGATTCCAGCAGGATACTCGAAGGTCGAAGTTGAGTTGGTCGAAGGCGCGTACGAGGACCTCGAGCTGGATTACCCTGGAGGAGACGGTGAGACGCATCTACGAGACACAAGCCATGCCATTATTCTATGGCGCAGGCGGTACATCATCCTCCCTGGGCGACAAGCGGCGTCTCGTGCACCATCTCCTCCGGCTCCGCCATCTCCTCCTCAGGATCCTGCACCGTCTCCTCCTCATGCTCCGCCAGCACCGTCTCCACCTCAGGCTCCAGCACCGACTCCTCCTCAGGATCCTGCACCGACTCCTCCTCGGGCTCCTACACCTACTCCTCCGCAAGCTCCTCTTCCGGCACCTTCAAAGTCAAGGGCCCCCCCAGCTCCATCGCCTGCCCACACAAGGGCAACGAAGAAGGCGAAAGTTGACGCCGCCAAGAACAAGGACCCGGGGTACGATTGCACGCAAGAGGAGCTTGACGCTTACGTTGCATCAGAAGTCAAGAGACAATTCAAGCCTCGAAATCCAGAAAAGAAGATTCCTATAGACCCCAGTGTCAGGAACTTCTTCAGGGGTATGTCTGCATCTGTCAAGGAGGCCATCAAGCTATCGGACTATGAGCGAACGCTGAAGAAAGCATCTTCTGGAAAGTCCAAACCAGTCCCTCAGCTTGGAGAGCAACCAAACCAGGAGATCGAGCCATTGGTGACCGGTAAAGAAATGACGATAGAATAATTTATTACTGACACCGGTCTAACTACGGATCAATTGCTAGGAGTCGCACCAATCGAAAAGGCGGAAGTGAAATACATGTACGAACTCGGTAAACCGCTTGTCAAGCCTGAGCTGCTGCAGTCCCTACCCACACAAATGTACAAGTTCCATCAGCTGTACATGGAGATGAGCGCCACCGGTAGAGAGATGATCGGAGCGAGGATCAGGGACACGGACTTCTTGCAAGGAGATGACATTCTCTGGATCAATTTCAGGGGAATCTACGAACTATACCAGCTGGACGCCCTCGACGTCTCTATTATGAGTTGCTGGATTTTGTAAGTATATCGTTCAGTTAGATTTCTTACTATACGTCTCATTTAATTAATTAGGTCCTTGTATATAAGTAGACTATAGAAAATAATATACTCCCTTTTATCGTTGTAGAATGGAGATTCAAAGGGCCCGACGGCG